AATGAGTCCTAAAACCCGGAAGTTTTATTTCAGCGCCATGGGGTCTATCGTCTAAAAGTCAATGGGAATTTAGAATGGGTTTGTGGTTAGACGCCTGAAATAAGGTCTGTGGTTAACAAGAGTCATCTGTTACGTGAGACAGCATTTTCAGCATGGCGACCGCCATCGATGTAACTCAAAAGCCCGCTTCAGTAACAGATGGGTGACTTCATTCAGGCTTCGTCCATTGATATTTACAGTCTATAACAACACACTGAGCATGACATCACATAAAAATGTATACCAGGTGAAGTGCCTATATGATAAAAAAAAATACATTTTTAACAAGAGAGTATAGGTAGACTTATTTTACTCAATGTGACAAACTTCTACAGACTATATTAAAAAGACAAATGACTGACAATAGAAACATAATGTGAATCATGACATCTTTGCTTTTCTATTGAATTAAAAAAAAAAGTATTTACAGTAAGTATGGTATTCACAAAAGCAAAAACATGTGTATCTGTATTCTAAAAAAAAAATTTAAAAAAGGAAAGAAAACGGTTGCTATGTGAGTAGGAAGTGTCCTACTTCTGTTATTGCCAAAAAATCAACCAATACAAAATTGAGTTTAAACATTTTTTCACCATGAGAGGACAACTTGCACACACACACAGAAAAATGCAAAGGCTTCCAACTCAAGGTTTATTAGAAAATGCCAAACAATTGGTTAGTGTATACACTGATCACAGGTCATTTATTATTATTCTGTTTTTGTCCACAGGGCCTCCAAATAAGTGACGTTTCAGGCAGAAGAACAGTAATTGCTTGCAGTTGAACACACATAAAAACACACAGTTCATTAATGAGGTTGATTGTGTTCAACATTTTCAGTATTTTGTTTGTATATCTAGTGCAGCACATGTTGAAATAACGAGACGAGAGATCCACTTTTTTTGTTCAGAAAAATAGCCTGATCTCAGGTTAAATCAGGCTGAAGGAGGACACATTCATAACAGTGTTGCCTGGGTATATTAAACAAAAGATGCTAATATGTGGAATGTTTCTGGTATTGTAAAATCTTAATTTCCAGTTTCTGTTTCAGCTCAAGTCCTACATCAAGCAAACACTTATGTGGACAATGAGCCATAGAAGTGTGGTGTTTCCTGGACTATATGTCTTCTTATTGACTAAAAGCCAGAAGAGAAATGGATGAGGGGATTCAAAGCGGCCTGTGGACACAAGCCAGCCTCTGCTCCGCACTGCTCGGTTCAAACGTGCGGTCAGATGTGTTCCAAGTCATCTAATCCCGACCGTTACTGAACAGTTTTTTTATGGCCTCACACATCATCCTCAACACTTAGGCCCCGCAGACCCAGAAAAATGGAGAGTGTTAAGAGTGTGATGACTCATGTGGAGCCTCTACATCTAAACTTTGTTAACCTCACACACCCTGTCAGAGCTTGTTCACATCCACAGTGGAGTGGAGCTTCAGTTGATCTTGTTTTAGCAAGACATACCATTTTAAGTTCCTTATTTTCTAGCTTTGGCTTAACAGCATTCAAGTTCACAAAGAGCAGATTGTAGCAATGGTCATTCCCATCATCACCATCAATAATATCAAAACCATCGTCATCATCATCGTTAAGGTCGTAGGTGTTCATAAAGAGCTGGGTCTTTAGCTTTTCCTTAAAGGTGCAAAGAGACTCTGTAGATCGGATGGAGTTTGGAGGTTCGTTCCACCAGCGAGGGCAACAAAGAAGAAAAGTCTAGTTAGAGACTTAGGACCCTGTTGTGAAGGCTGGGTCAGACGCCTTCCATTGGCAGAGCGTAGGGGGGTGGAGGGAGTGTAGACCTGGATTATTTTAGGAGTTTAGGTAAGGAGGAGCCGTTTTTGTCGCTGTTTTGTAAGTGAGCAGCAGAGTTATAAATTTGCTGTGAGCAGTAACTGGGAGCCAGTGTAGGGAGATGAGTGACATGTGCTCTTCTGGGTAGGTTGCAGGTTAAGTAACAGGGTTTCATGCGAAGTAACAGGGTAACAAATTTACACATAGAGGCAAATACTAAAAAGTTTGCAACTGTACCTTCTTCCACTATGACTAAGAAGTGAACATGATGAGTTAAGCTTTGATAAAAATTTAAACTTTTACTCTGCACTGTAATTATTATAATTTTTTGTTTAACTCTTTTAATTTCTTTACTTTTATTTTCCATTTCAATGTTTTTATTTAAATTAATTTAATTCTAATTATTTTTATTTGAACATATTTTCAGATTTAATAATTTCAGTGATTTTTAAATTTTCTATTTTATTTTTGTTTCTTTTCTTTCCTCTGTCATGATGCTTTTGTCTTGTGTGAAGCACTTTGAATTGCCTTGTTGTTGAAATGTGCGACATAAATAAACTTGCCTTGCCTTAATGTGAAGGCAACCAGGCTATACCTTCTGATTTTCAATATCGGTGCTCTTTTCGCCTGTTGATCAATCAAGAAGTGGAGAATAATAACAGTTATGTGGATTCCCTCAGTTACTAACATCTGCAGACCAAAACACAGCCTGGCAGTCAAAAAGCATCAAATAGTTTTGTAATAGGAAGACTGGGAAAACAAAAGTTATTTAACATGGTCGGATCTTATATGGAAGACTCCCTTTCCTTTACTCAAACAGTGTAACACTTGACATTAAATTGTGTGTTAGAGAAGAAATTGGTCTTTATAGAACCACAAGAACCAGAGGAGTTAACATTAACTGCACAGCCAAGGCCGTCCTCATTCTCCGCACTTTGAGAATGATGCCTTTGTCCTACACCATGTTGCAGTGGAGCAATGAACAGGCCACTTCAAAAAAAACACAAGGCGCCACGCCAGCTCCAGAGAAAGCCATTTGGACATCTAATAGCTGCAGACCAGGCCAGCTTAATGTAAGCCTTATTGTGATTACCTGATGTAATGACAGCCAATTCAAATACGGCCTGTAAGCCATTAGGAGCAGAACAAGAGGAACACATTATGTGGAGCACCATGTCAGCTTGACAGTGTCTGAACAATGCAACATGAAAGTCTCCAACCTGTTATTGTGACTCCTTAGGGAGTATAGAGGAACTGTTTGGGGCAGTTATACATCCCATGCCACAGACTGTCCCTTTGAAGACTAAAAATAGGCTTTGAGAGATTTATAGTGTAAACACAGATAAAAGACTACGTTCATTTAGATTCCCCTCCTGATCGAGTAGGACACTTGAAATTTGTCTTCAGCAAAGACTCTCTGCTTTGTTTCAGGTTGTAAATTGAGTAAGCCATATGAAGGAGTCGTTAATCATTTCATTGCTTCCAAGATTAGCAACTGAGACAATGGATTGGGAAAAATCCTGAGGGACATTAAGCTATGTGTAAAAGCAACATATGTGAAGTCCCATAGGTAGTTTGGTCAGATGGCTGTTATTATGAGTCTGGTTTTGCCTAAGATTTCTGCCTCTTAAAACAAAGTTTTTTCTTGCCACTGTATCTTTTGCTAAATGTTGCTAAGTGCTCATGATGCATTAACGTCGGGTCTTTGTAACATAACATTGAGTACGGTCTTTTACCTGCTTTTTTGTAAAAGTCTTGATATAGCATTTGTTAGCTAGGAAGTGGCCAAATGCGTACATTACCGTTATAGAGCATTACATGGTACAATCAGAGAAACATCAACTGTATTGTTAGCTAGCTAAAAGTAACGCTAGCTAAGTGTGTGAATGCAAAAATTACCCGTCGACCCAAATTACAACTGCATTCTTTTACTGGATTTTCCACAAATGTAAGATAAGAAAACTTCCCTGGATTTTTAAATGGATTAGAACAGCTGGCTACATGCATATCCTAAACTAATAGATAGTAAATCATGTGAACAGTAGAGAGTTTTGATGAGATTTGTGCGATTCTTTGATTCTTTCGCTCAGGTGCATTTAGTGTTTTCTCAGCCTGTAGCCTACATTGAAGCTTCTTGTTTGTCCCAGATGTGTATTTGATTTTTGATTATCTGTCATTTATTTTTGTGAACATTACTTCAGTCTTATACATTGTTAGATAACTTATCTTTTTGGTCTGCAGAACATAAAACAAGTCACCTTTTCACTATTTATTACCTTCATTCAAATTTCCCTCATGTTTAGTTTTTTTGGTGGCTACCTGTTGACTAAGAGCTTGTTTCAGTAAGATAACACAAAAGGTTAAATATCAGTTACTTAGCTTCAAATAACTGCATGAAAATTCAAATTGAAATGTTAATTAGTTCCTGATTAGATGTGTTTTGGGGGTTATTTGACAGAAATTGGGTGAAAACATGTCACAGAAGAAAGACGATGGAGGTGATTAGGACCAATTTTCCTTTTGCTGTGCATCAAATATTTCAGCCTCATTCCTATTACCTTAATTGTAACCAATGTACAGCCAAATATGGTTGGTAGTGAGGAACACGTTGACTCCACTCCAAGGACCTAAAGTTTCTCGAAACCGATTCAAACATCCTTCACCCATTTCTCTGGAGAAAACTCAACATTTCAAAGACAATATTTCAGCTCTGTTCTGTTTGTCTTTCGGTATCACTCGTGGCATCCGTTGACCCGCAGACGCTTTATTACTCTCATCATTAATCAGGATTACAGTGAATATCTCATTACACAAGAAGACTTGCCAGAGGCGGCATCAGTTTGTGCTTCTCTGCTCGCCTCAGGAATGTCTTTTTGGAGAGAGGCGGACTTCAATCTGCTGGAGACGCTTCCGACGACTTGGCTCACTTGTTGCATGACAGGCATTTATCTAGAGTAATTTCCCTACCGCCGTATACACTTTTGCTTTTAGTGTCTCACTCCTCTAAAAATCAAAGTTGCAACAGCAATTTCCACCATGCCAGACCCTAAGCCGAGCAGCAGGGGATTGTTTTTCAATGCAAGCATGTATAATCACTTTGCAAATTCATGTGTTTGTATCTGCTTAAATACATACCATCTCATATAAATGAATTAAAACAAGACCACAGGATTTCCTTTATGTAGGGTTATTTTATTAACGCTGGATGTGTCGGTTCATGGTTGAGGTTTAGAGGCTACTTTGGTGGTTGTAGATAACAGACGGAAGGGGAAGGCACCAGGTCAGATAAGGGAAACGTAGGGGGGATGAGATTGCCCCCCAAATTGCTGATCTATGGCCAGTTTGGCAGTTTCTCCATTTAATGATATGTTTCAGAAACAGACCTGGACAATAACATATAGTTGAACATGGATACAGAAACTACACGAGGCACATTCTGTTCAAGCGTTCGAGTCCGCACATTGATTTTGCTTTTTTTTGCGTTTTCCTTTGAACACATGAATCAAATATGAGACTTCAAAGACAAACTTGTTGCTACTGCATAAAAAGCTACATATTTGTTTGAACATGTGACAGGGAAACAGTGTTCTCATACTTTAACACTAGATAATGGCAGTGGTTAACCTCTAATAGAGATGTGTTTCTTGTAGTCTGCCTTCCATGTTAGGTTTCAGTTTTTTGTCTAAAGGGCCAGGAACTGAAGCCAAGACAGCATTCAAGGGCAGCTTCACCCCCAGAGAGAGAGTGGGGGGAGGGGGGTGCGGAGGCAGTGTGGCAGAGGAATCATGTGATCACAGTGGGACCTGAGCGTCCAGTCCTCTCGTGGAGCTGGGAGACCTTCAGGGCGATGTCTACCAGAGGGGCCAGCATCACCTGCATTCAGAGACAAGGACTTAGGACTTCATGTACAGATCAAGCTGTTCTCATAATCCCTACAGGTGTTACACTTGGATCAGCACAAAGACAGAGAACAGTCAGAGATAGCCATTTAAGTTCTGTGCATCATCATGTTTGTCCAGAATTTAACATAACTGTAAAACTTGAATTGCACATTTGCACACCTCCACTTTGCCCTTTAATAACTTGAATTTCCATTCTGGTATGGGCTCTTGACTGGTTTTATATTTTGCTGTGTTGTCTGATTTTTTTAAATGTGTTTTGGTTTATGTTTTATGGTGACGTTGTCCTTGTGTTTCTTGTCTACTGTGTGCTCCTGTTGCAACGCAAATTTCCCCTTGTGGGACAATAAAAAATCTGAATCTGAATCTGAAACAATTTGTTGGCCAGGCACAATAATTATTCAATGTATGCAGACATTGCTAAATTACTCAAATCTGCTAAGGAACTGTTTCCAACCACAGCATGAAGTTAATTCACCTTACACTTCATGTGTTTGTTCAGATAATACCGATATATCAATCAAAACATGTTCTTGTGTTGGAGCTTTTGAGGTGCTGAAAGACAGATTTTGTTATCTTTGGACTTGGATGAAGAAGACTTTCTACCCCATTCACAGTCGTTTATGCTTCATGCTAAGCTAAATGGCTACTTATGGTAGCTTCAAATTTACCATACAGGCCTGAGAGTGGTATCGATCTTGTGTAACTCTTGAAAAGAAAGCAAATTAAGTGAACCGACTAAAATGCCTCCTGATTAAACTGTTGTTTTCTCATTTTCACTCACAAACTGATCAAAGCCCATCCTGCTACACCAAAGCTGCTGCTGGACAAGCTTAGCCTCTTCCACCGCAGCGTCCTCCTGAAGTCTTTGATTCAACCATGTAACAGGGTTTGACTTTAGCAACAAAATGTCAAATCTATGACGAAGAGTGTGGACTGACATGTCACTATTATTTGGGAAAAAAAAAAGGTCATGCATTTAAGTGTCAGCTGGAACCAGTCTGAGTTTGACACAAACGTCAACTCCCTGAGCCCAACATGAGATCTTTAAGAATTCAATCATTTTTTTGTGGGTTTTTCTCAATTTTATAGATTACAGTACAAGACTGTATAAAAAAAAAGTGACCATATTTCACACATATGACATGAAATATCTGCTGGGAAGGCTTCCTCTTTCCTCAAATCCTGGCTACAAATCTAAAGTGAGCGCTCTCTGTGTGTAAATCAAACCAACCTAAATCCAGCCAACTGAACCATTAACCCAGCAGTCATATATCTGTCAAGTTAGGAGCATGAAGCAATGTGTTTCTGCTTATCTGTTCGTTCACTGAGTGTAAGCACTGAAGAAGAAAACAGGCTGAATCAGAACTTTAATTCACTCTTCTTCTTTTTTTTTTTAAAGATCTTGTCTCACTTTCTCGTTCGACATCACCTCCCTGTCTGCACCCGTCCAGTACGACTTTTATGAAGTGTCCTGTTGGAACTCACACAACTTTATTTCCCCCTGTGCTCTACTTCCCTCTGTCATACTGGCCCTGATAAGCTGCTATAACTCAAGACTTTGCCAAACATCTCCAATCTCCTCACATGTTGAACACAAGCTCCACCCTGCGAGATCTCGCCTCGCTGCAGGTGACGGATCATTCTGTGGCCCGTGTGACCTTTAAACGTTTGACCTCCACGAGGTGTCAGACGATATTAAAATCTTTAGTTTTCTGTCCCTTTTCTGAGATTGTTCATGCATGCAAATATCCTAAAGAAAACGGAGTGCGTTTGTTTTCCTATCTGATGACTTCATGTCTCTCTCACTAAACCTGGCTGTCTTAACTCCTTACGGTCCTGACCTGTGGGTCCTGGTAAATCTTCTGGGGGTCCTTCTCGTAGCTGTCTATGTAGAGCCTGACTGTTGCCCCCGCGCTGCCCGTACCGCTGAGACGGAAAATAATCCTAGAACCATCGGAGAAGATGATCCTCAAACCCTGACAGAGACAGAGAGAGAGAGAGAGAGAGAGAGAGAGAGAGAGAGAGAGAGAGAGAGAGATTAGGATAAATAAACGTACATGGAGCAGGACATGTGTGGGGGGATTACAAATTCTGTGAACTGGATTCATTCATTTTTAGGACAAAAATACATTTTCTCTTTCTTATAACCCTTCAGATAAATCCACCAGTGCCCACATTTTTATGACTGCTGTTTGTGAGGTCGTCTCATCTTGAGGAGCTTTAAAACTTAAGCTTAAAAGGTTTGCAAGTCAAGTGAATGGACTACATGTAAAAGCAGAGCTGGAAAATCTGAGCGAAAAAACATTATTAAATCCTGGTGGGCTCTTCCTTGCAGACTCTCACCTGGTTTTTGGACACACTTCCATCCACAGGGTCCGTGTAGGCGAAGTTATCAGCGACAGCCACCTCGTACGTCTTATCCCCCGAGGAGAACTTCTTCCCTACGAAGGATGGGTCGAACATGGCCGTCTCCAGATCCTTGATCATCTTGTTGGCAGCATCGGAGTCCACCTCCTCGTAGTCGTACCTGGATGTGGAATTTAGACAGTGAAGTGAAATCTGGAGTCAAACTGGCAGAAGATACGATAGAGGGTTAAAGATAACGGCTTTACGTTAAATTTAAATTTGTGTGTCTTTGTGAATCTTTGTAAAGATCTTCCTTATTAAAGGGTTTTAACACAGCCGTTCAAAAACAGGCCTCCAGGATTCAGCATGCTGCAGTTCTCTAATTCACCACCAGATGGTGCCAGAGTACAACTTGAACAAACGACAGAAACATCCCAACAGCTGTTTCTACAATTGTTTCATTCAAGAAAAAACAGTCCTGGGACCAACAGATACAAATCAAAATACCTGAAAGACTCAGACACACATTTCAAAATGATTTGTGACCTTGTGAAGAAGTTCCTGCCGAACTTCTGCCAGTGATCCTTCATGATCTCTTCCACGCTCTGTTTCCTGGTGGCTAAGATCGACAGCCACGCAAGCACCGCCCACAAACCGTCCTTCTCGCGGATATGATCTGAACCTGGTGTGTCGGCAGAGGACGAAAAGAGGGGATGAGTGTCAGAGCTTATAAAGAGGCTCTGCTCTCCTGTCTTTCAGTGTGACATTCACTCACCTGTGCCGAAGCTCTCCTCTCCACACAGTGACAGTTTGCCCGCATCCATCAGATTGCCGAAGAACTTCCAACCGGTCGGAGTCTCGTACAGCTGCATCTGAAGAGCTTTAGCCACACTGGAGGAGATTTACACACACACACACAATTAACCACTTGAGAAAAACATTCGACATCACCAGGAAAAGGAAAAATGGTGAGATACTCTAATTTGCCATGTGTTTTTTTTTTTACTTGTCCAGAGCTCCACTGGTGGGCATACTGCGGGCCAGTCCCTTCACACCAGTCTTCTGGAAGTAAGGGATGCTGGTGATGTTTGCAGCGATGACAGCCACAGAGTCTGAGGGGTTGACGAAAAAGCCCTTTTTACCCAGCACCATGTTCCGGTCCTGAAGAGACCGGGACACAACGAGGGTCACAAAACAGGGACAGCACACAGGAAATGTTGAACACTTTCCTCTTAGGGAGTTCATAGTTTTGAATTGGTAACGAGAAAGTTCACTACAAATGTACCGAAACTAAACCAGCACAGCTTCCTCTCATGAAGCCTTGATTATTATAAAGATTACTGTTCTTACTATTATTAATTTAAACATGATAACTCATATTTTATATCCTTTCATCACTCCTGATTTTCTCTCCTCTTCTTTTTCTGTTCGCTTCTTTTGTTCTTCTTGTTTTGTGTTTGTTGCAAAGCACTTTAAATCAACTGTGTTGTGTTTAAAGTGCCTTATACATAAACTTGATTTGGTAATTTCACCACTAATACCCGACGTCCCTGACGCCCACAACCACCACCGTCCTCATTCATGCACGGCCTGCTCCGACCTCCACCTCAGCAGCAGGGAATTGTAGACGACAGGAACATGAGGAATAGAAAGGAGAAATCCTTCCTGCATCTTATCACATCTCCCCCTATCCATTTTTCTAAACAATGAGTAAGGTCTTTAACCTGCTCTTTTGTAAAGCATCTAGAGAAAACACTTGGCGCGATACAAATAAAGATTGATTGATTGATTCTGAGGTGAATCTGTGTGAATCTCAGACATGTCTTGTGTATTTTAAAAGCACTACGGTGAACTGATGACAGCACATTTTCTCATCATATAACCGATCCCGTTATAAATCAAAATGAAGCTTTTTTTTCTGACGCGAGATGTGAGAAATATGTTTGGGAGGAAAACTAGAGTAACTCAGCTAATTTAAAACATTCACTGTTCTCATTAAATAACGTAATAAAGTCTAAACGACTTCATTTTAGTCACGTCCCGGGAACCCAGGTTGGTTTGTTAAACTGGTCAATTAGTGGAGCTTTAAATTTAAGACTTAATAAAAAAAAAAGGGGGTTTATTAGATTTATTTTATGAGAGCTGACATCATAGATTTGAGTCCAGTTCAAATACTCTCACTTCTCACCCGGGCCAGATTGCAGCTGAGCTCTGCCGTCCGCCTATTTCTGTGTTTTACAACCAATCTGATGTATCGTGATGATGTCATCAGGAAATGTGCATGATGACACAGAAGACGAACGCCTTAGCTTTCTATCGCAAAAAAAGGTTCATCTTCTAGCTGCTGAAGTACGTATTTCAAATCAGTTTGAAAACGGAAAATGTGAAAAAAAATCTCCTTTGGGCATTTTTCAGTTATTTTAGATGATGTAATCAAAGAAAACAAAATGTGCAGACAAAGAAGAAGTAAAGTTTTTGGAGAAAAGAAAAAACCTAAAGGCTGCAGCTATCAGAATTTTTATTTTAGATTAATTCAAACGAGAGCACGTGAAAAATAACGTGGAACTTCTGTTGGATAGGACAACTGAAGACAGACAGGAAATGTTGGGAGGATAGAGGTGGGCTGAAACAAAGGGCCGAGGTCGGATTCGAACCCACAGCCCCTGCTACGAGGACTGTAGCCACTGTACGTGGGGCGCAAAACATAACGACTAGCGCTCCTCATGTGTTTGGTTTTTAAAGGTTTAAATCGTTTCCCAGAAGAAAAGAAAGTCAAACTTGACTTACACCATCACCGTCAAAAGCAGCTCCAAAGTCGTACTCTCCTCCTTTCATGGCGTTGACCAGATCGGCGGCGTACGTCAGATTGGGGTCAGGGTGGTGTCCTCCGAAGTCCTCCTTAGGGACACAGTTGACGGCAGAGTTTGCAGGAGAACCGAGTTCTTCACAGACGATCTTCTTCACATAGGGACCGACCACTGGAAAGAGAGGCGGCGGCCTTTAAAAAGTGTATTATATTTAAATGTAAAATACTGAGCAATCGTCTATTTTATTTTAAAAGAGGGACCTTGTTTCCACCCTCTGTATTTATTGGTCTTTGAAATCTTGTGCTGTTCTGTTTCCTACCTCCATGCATGGCGTCCAGGCGGACGTTGATGTGGTTAGCTCCGGAGAGAAGCTCCTTCAGCGCAGCAAAGTCAAAGATGCCCCTCAGCATCTCAGCGTAGGCCTCCACAGAGTCCACGATCTCCACTGAGACAAAGAAAAAAAAAAAAAGACGGGTCAAATCATAAAGCAGCAGATATAAAGATAAACACATTGACCAGATAGATGCACTTTAACAACACAGTAGGGATGTTTGACAGATTTCCCAAGTCGCAGATGATGTACAATCATTATCTCATCAGACAAGACGGACTAACATTTACCACCACGTTGCAGGTCACTTGTATTTATTTTTCCAAACAGACAAACAAGAAAATGAATCACACATAGAGTGTCTTTCTGGTGGGATCAGGACTCCCTCCTCTCCGTTGCACTACTTTACCTGTGAAAGGTTTGAAAGTTTCCACCTCAAAGGTCTGTTTTCCGATTTTGGAGAGATCAACCTTCAGCTCCGGGCAGATGTGATACTCCTGCAGGCCTTTGCTGACTTCATATATTTTGTTTGTGATTCCCTCTGGAGCAGGTCCTGGAGACGCAGAAGAAGGCTGGTGAGACATTATATATTTAACGGACAGATGTGATGAGTCGTAATTACAGATGTTGATGTGACAGAAACAGCCACAAGAGGGCAGAATAATCCAGATTTTGAAATCTAACTTTTGCTATCCAGGATCAGATTTTAGGTTGTACTTTTTTTTTTGTAGATTTTTGGGAATGACCAAAACTGGGTTACCAAGCAACTCATACTGAGGTTTTAATGCAGATCAAAACCAAATCTGGATTACTTGACCTAATCTTATTTTGGAATCTTTCTTTTCTTTTCAAAAACTCATTTTCAAGATCTAATCCAAAATAATAATAATCCAAACAATCTCATCAGATTACTCTGAAACAGGTTGATATGTGAAAGCCGTCTCGCCTCACCTCCACTGGAGATGTTGTACTTAATGCCAAAGTCTCCGTTGGGGCCTCCGGGGTTGTGGCTGGCTGTGAGGATGATACCCCCCACCGCCTTTATCTTGCGGATCACACAGGAGACGGCTGGGGTGGACATGATGCCATCCTGACCAATCACCAGATTACCAATCTGCAACACACAAGGACCCATAGATTATTAAACACATACACATATGGACGAGTTATAAGGGGGGGGGGGGGGGCTGCCGAGGGTGAGTGAGAAAAAGAAGCTTCCAGGGGGATGAGGCTGGTCGGACACTGACAGAGACACAGAGAAATCCCAGCCAGGAAACTGCGCCAACAAATGAGACTCAACCACAACAAGGACATCCCACATTAACATAATGGTGGATGTTGAAGCACTCGAGAGGCATGGAGGATCGGGGTGACTGGAAATGTAGCTGCTGGAGATTGTCCGAGAACGACCAAATGGTGCACGTATGAAGAGAGCAAGCTGCATTTTTATACCACTACTTTGATTTGAGTTCACTCCCATTTGTTGTCATGAGTCACGATGACTAGAGAACAGTGCACAAAACATCACAGTAAACATGGCTGCCGTAAAGTGCAAGCTAAAATTGAAATATTAACACATTCTCCTGTTCAACACTTCAGTATCGCAGGGGAGGCCCCGACTCCAATGTTGTAAATCAGTGGTTCCCAAAGTGGGGGGTCGCGAGACACTGGGAGGAGGGAGGAGGGGGGTCGCGAGTTGCCTTCCAAAAGCAAATGCAAACTGGAAATGACTTGAAATGACATATTTTACTTTATTATTGTGAAATTACATACAAAACTGTTTTGTTTTCTTTTTTTTTTTATTGTTGTTCTCATGTCAGTGTTTAGGATAGGCCCATTAGTGCGTGCTGCTGTGTGCACCGTTATGCTTTCACCACTTCCAGGGACAGAAGGGGTCCCCCCGGTCTCTTGCATCGTTATTTTGGGGGTCGCGGGATGAGAAGTTTAGGAACCCCTGTTGTAAATTACTAATTCTAAAGTTAAAAAAAAAAAATGGCAGACAAAACACTTATTCCATCCAGAAACACTCTCCATCATCAAAACATGTTGGATCTTCATCGAATCGATATCACTTATTTATGTTTATTTAGTTCTGATTGCCCCCCGCCCCCTACATGATGTGTTTATTACTTCTCTGCTTATCATCTTAAACACACCTTACACATGCAGCTGTTTGTGTTGAGTAAACATCTAAACAGAAGTGCTGCAGTCCGTGCACACGGTGTCTTCACTTCGCTTTATTTCATAACATCAACCACTTGTGGAGAAACGGAAAGGAAAAGTTGAACAACATAAGGAAACTGGCATGTGCACAGTGTTGCCCTGCAGCAGCAAGACAAAGACAAGGGCACAGATAGGTCACTCAGTCTGGATAAGAAGGTACAGATAAAAAATAAATAAATAAATAAACATATGATAGTTATATGTTTTGGAGATGAAATAAAACGCAATGGTACTCTATGTACTGTTCATTCATTTCTGACATATGCAGGGCAACGTGACGGGCTGCACGTAGCACGTCACGCCCCCCCTGCGTGTCCCCAAATCGTTGCAGCAGCAGCAGCATCACAGAGAGAGAGAGGGAGAGAGAGAGAGAGAGAGAGAGAGAGAGAGAGAGAGAGAGAGAGAGAGAGAGAGAGAGAGAGAGAGAGAGAGAGAGAGAAAGAGAGAGCAGCCAGTGGCATCTCACCAGTGCACATCTAATTCTGAAACAACACAAACTAATAGTCTGCAGTGCTTACTTTTACAGCGAACCTGTTTTTCTATTTTGAATGATTGTGCAAGTATAAAGTCTTCTTGTTATCTCTCAGGAGGAAGCACGGAAGTTGTCGATGCATGTAGCGTTAAATGTCAAAGGTTTGTTACCCATTTAGACTCCGAGCACAGTATCCAAAATATCACCGCAGACAAGTGCAGTTCAACCTGGGTGGTTACATTTTTAAACATGTAGTGACGAGTCTATTATCTGCAGACATCATGATTTACTGGACCTCTCCTTTTGGGGCTGACAAAGTGGCTTAGCAAGCCAACAAAACATTGTTCAAAGTAGTGTTCAAAAAATGTTAAGAAAACCCTTTAAAAGCATGACTTTTAATCTTCAACTTCATTGAATTCCTTTTGCTGATAAAATGCAGAGGTGGAGATTGTTATGTTTAATCATGCGTTTACGTGATGTCAGAAAAATCGGAAAGATGAGCATCCCATTCTGAAAAGTTCACCAGAAAGGTTCCCTCGGGTTGGATTAACAACTCCAAAAGTGGGGGGGGGGGAAAAGTTATTTTAACAGAGGTGTCGAGTTGTCAGAATTTACCGTCATGTAACCCAAAACATAAACAAAAAGTAATCGTTACCTTGACGGTTAAAAACTTCGCATTGATTGACGTATGGCAAACTACAGTTTTGGCTTGTTTATCCATTTAAACGTGGTATAATGTATCTGTTATTTGTCCACATGGAGACACCTATTTAAAATATAACTGATGTCTTCTGTCGTCTGCATTGTTTTCTAAATCAACGTCAAGTTAAAGAGCAACTTGAGAAGGTTGAAACTCCGAGCATCCGAGTGGTACGTGAATGCAGCGTTAGCTATCTAACCTAGCTAGCCTTGGAGCCTCAATAAGGGGAGGGGGAGCACACACACACACAGAAACCACTTTTTGCCTTTCAAACTGACCCCGTTGGCAGCAGCAATCTGGACGATGAGCTGAATGGCGTCTTTCATGAAGAACCTGCCGTCTCCTCCCACCACCACGGTGGCAGCCTGGCGCTCTGCGGGCTCGATGACAGACAGGGTGCTCTGGATGAAGTTCTCCGCATAGTGCTGGTTCTGTTGAAACACCGTCACCCTCTTTCTCAGACCGCTCGTCCCCGGCTTCTGGTCCGTGTACGGCTTGGTCTTCACTGTTGTTATTTTCACCATTTTGTCGACACCCAAAGTGAGCACCTAATGGTCACCAGTGTGTGTGTGTGTGTGTGTGTGTGGTCCGCAGTCTGCAGCAGCAGCAAGCAAGCAAGCAAGCGAGGCGACTGCAGTGTCAAAGCAGAGAGCACGTACACGCCGGGCCACGCCCCCCACCCTGCTAGCCCCGCCTCCTCGGGTTAAAGGGCCATGCAGGACTGTTTGCTGTTTCGTATGAAAAGTTTGGTGCATGAATGAATGACCAAACTTTTACCACTTTCACTGAGGGGGCCAAACTGGGGGCCATTTGTTTGTCAGAGGGGAATATTAAACCCAGGTGAAAAAATGGACAAAGATGATCGCTTTAAAAATATATATATATTATGCCAAATAATAGCGCACATCATAAAATACAGCAGCATAAAATATTATGATTTATGTTTGTTTTAGTAACAGTATTTAATACTAGATTGTGAGTCCGGTTGTTGAGTCAAATACTAGGGGGGCTCTTCCTTTTGGAGGGGTGGCCACAAGGGGGGGGGGACCAAGGTCAGTGTTAGTTGGCCCCTGTCTAAAACCGCCCATGTGACCGAATGACTGAATTATTTAGTAGAATGGTAAACTGAAGGAAATACTTACAACCTGATCACCAGCAACTCCACACCATCTTTATTGAATTGATTGTTGTGAACTTTCCCGAACTGTAAAAGCTGTTTGGCGCGCCAGTGGACTAGCGGGTAGTTTTTTGTGCACCACACGTTCAGAGGCTGTAGTCCTCTGAGTGTGCAGCCCAGGTTCAAAATCGATCTATGGCTCCTTTCCCCCCCCTCTCTCTCTCTCTCTCCCAGATGTCCAAACCTATCCACTGTCCTTTCTCTCAAATAAAGGCGTAAAAAAGCCCCAAAATAAATCTTATCTGAATGTTCTTGAAGTGGGTAAACCTAGAGTCTGTTTGGTTCATTTATCTTGAACTGACTGCTCATTGTGATTATTTGTTGCGTTACTCAGATCACTATTGTGTTGAAATGGTGTCTATAAGAATACTGAATAATGAAATGTAAGAATACTTAAATGGGTGCCAAGTTGCTAAGTGTTCAAATTGAAACAAAGTGTGCCAAAAGTTCTGAAAGATATCCCGCTTCACATTTATTCATGTCTGAACAGACTTTAGAACCTTTGAGGTCAAGTGCATGACACGAAGAGGTCAATGACTGCAAGGCTGGTTCAAACGTTTTACACCAACAAGACAATCTGATTGGAGACTAAATAAATTCTCATATCAGTAAGTAGTCTGCAATTCATACATCACAAAGTCAACCTGAAAAACATTCAAAGAAAACTATATTTCAAGACAGCATTACTCAAGTGAAAGGGTTTGAGTTTGCAAGGTGAACGTTGTGAAATCTTCCACTTCAGGTCTGTTTTTTTTTTTGCCTGTTACATCACAGTGTGTTTGTTCATCTTAAGCAGAACAAAGTTTAACGTCAGCCCTGCCATCAGGGAAGTACGGGGCGTGTTTATGTGAGGAGGTTACTCTTCAGAAAGGAAATATATAGTGAAGTGTAGTGCCACATTTTCACGCATTTAATTCAATACCATTCAAATGCTTGTGTAGCACTTTTCTAGTCTTCTGACTACTCAAAACGCCTTTACACTGCATGTGACATCTACACATTCACATCTGCTGTACCATCTCTGAAGAAAGGCATCAAAAGCCCCAAAATAAACCTTCCAAATTGCATTAAATATGCACTGAAAATACTGTCAGTTTACCACATAGCACGAGTTAAATCTACATTTACTGACTATGATGCTGCAGTATTTTCATTTTATCAAACATTTATTTCATTTTTTGAAACCAAAGTCAGTGGATAATTAGTTTTACAGATTGAATCTTTCTTTGAAAACCTATTGCATACATCTTTTAGAATACAGCCCTGGAGATGGGACTTGCCCTGAGTAGTTAAGTGTTACTAAAACTCTGATTTTGGAAAGGAAGAGCGGACAGGAGCTCAGGACAGTAAATACATCTCACATGCCATGTGACCTTTACTGAGCGGGCTCTACTGTTTCAGCAGAGAAAGTCAAAGGGCAAATAATGGCCTGAGGGATATAAATAGCAGGTCTCGCCTGGAAAGGCCAAGGGCAAATAAAGTTTAGACCTGAGTGCAATGCAAAGGAATGCATTTCAACGCCAGAACAAAATCCCCAGAGAAACCGACTGTATTAACAGTATGGAGAGTGGTGACCAGTAACTGCACATAGACAGACATGATTTAGTTGTTTTTTGATTTGTTTGTTTATAGTTTCATATTTAATTATATACTTCTATAGTTCATTGAGAGTATGTGTGAGCACCTGTCCAATAAATCTGATTCTGATTTCATGCAGGCTGAAAAAGGCTGTAAGTAAGAAAAAACAAGATACAAAAAGGTTTTTTTTCAACATAAAGAGAGCATTAATTAATTCATTTAACAGTTGAAATGTGTACTTGTTAAAACAGGCTAAGATTAGATGAGAAAATAAATATTTCTTGAGATGTCAATGTAGCAAATATCTATTTTTAAACAGCATTTAAACTGCTTTATTGAGATCTGCCTACATGTACCAATCAGCAGGACAGTAATAAAAAAAATAATAAACACATTCACAAGCACAAACATTTAAAGCAAGAAAATTGTCTTTGTTCTGAGGAGGGCTGAAAGTCGTCTTGTGTCCCATGATTCAAACAGTTAGAAATCTACTGTGGTGACTTTCCAGTGAAGGATCCAAACCATGTAAGATGCTTAAACTTATAGTAAACGTGTTAAAAGAAACTTTATTCAAATGAAAGACAGAAGTATTAAGATATTTAATTTGGTTGAACATCGCAGTTTTAGACATATGAGTAGACTATAAAACGTACTGTCCAGGCATTAACAGTGACAATAGCCTTCAGTAACAGGATAAATATGAATATATTTTATTGTTTTTTGTTGAAGGAATTTTGAGGTGTCACATTTACAAAGGCACGAAAGCAGCAACAACAAATATCAGATGTTCTTCATACCATTCTCTACTTCTTTCATCTGAGCCTGGGGCAGAGGGTTTAATCTCCAGGTGTGACAGTCTGACAAATGAAGCTTTAATAAACTAATAAATAAACTGTGCATCTGTCACTGTTATCATGTCTCGTAAAAATAACTGAGTCCAACAATCACAACTATTTTTTATAGTCCAAATGGACTTAGAACTATTGCTGTTCATCTTGAATCCTTTTTAAAGCCCGTCGTTGATGTTACTCTTACGTGCAGGGTAATATGCTCTCCATACAGTTGTACGTCCAATCCTGTTTATCGTTGATGGGAAGAACATGTTGGCACACCTAAAAGACAAAACACACACCTTCTTATTGACATCCAAACCAGTGGGGAATGTTTTTTTTTTTTTTAAAGAAAGTGTATTCTGGTATGCTCAAGTACTGTTCTGAAGTACAAATTCAAATAAAAGCTCATCACAATTGAAGGCCTTGTCCCTTTAACTAGCCTGGTGTTGCTGCACATTTTGACAAATTAAGGCAGATCTCAATTGTGCACTTAGCGTTTATAAATCCAGAGACGGGCTGTCTATCAAAGCAAAATCAAATGAGTGTTCTGCAATTTAATTAGTTTATTCATATCCTAACTTTGTTCAGAGTGAAATATTCTGTCTGGTGTAAATTAATAGTTCTGTCGTCATCTTTGCTGTGAACGAGTTTTGTTTGAAAATAATTACATTCCTGTCTCATATTGATGTTTGTCCCAAAAGAAGGCAGGGTCATTTCATAGACTGAAGTAAATAAAAGCCCAGGCTTCTAGAAGTTTTACAGTATTTCTGTTGTATGCAGCGTGTTTGTGTAACTTTAATACAGGGGCAATACTCTTAATTAATCATAGGGAGACCTCGTACCATCTTAGTCCTGGCTGGCACCTCCACAGCAAACACACTCATGCCTCTGCTGCTGCAGCAGTTCCTGCTCTGCTCGTTGTTCACATGGACGGTCACTTTCTGGTTGTTCTGCAACACAAACGGTTTCCACAGGTCACGATAAACTTTGGAAGACTGAGCAGAAGCTGTGTGCAAAAGCTCAACTAACAAACCAAGAAAATAAACAAACAAATCCTGTTGATAAAAAAGTGAAAACTCTACCTACTATTATTTGTTCTAATTCAATATTAAAAAATATGAATAAACAGATCAAATTGTGCCACTAAGAATACAAACAGCATTGTGTGTACCAAACTGTTTCTTGGTTCGGAGTCACTTTAAGCTCTTTGGTTAATGGATATGTAAACAAGACAATACTACACATCACTCATGAACCTTAAAACCTGATGATAGCATTGTAGTTGACTTTTAAAGTAAAAGGTATGTAAGTACTTTTCTTTTTTTTAAACAGTCAACTCAACAGTCTCATGAAGCTTCACACTGTTGTGAATTTCCCCCTGTACTTTGTCCTTTGCAGCACCAGGACATACTTGTTGAGTTCTTCCTGTTGCTATGAGAGTCAATACCATCTCTGAATATCAATTCAAAACACACTGAACCAGGAACACTCACAACTTTATTTTGCAGAACTAAGTCCCTGTTTTGAGTTTAGGATATCCTCAGTCAGTCAGATAATCAATCCAACAACACAATAATGTTTAAACCTTGTTGGCTATGACGGAGGAGAACCTGTGTTCTCCTCTGTAGGTGTAGATGAAGACGCTGTCTTGGCCCCTCAGTGCTTTGGCCCCGATCCTGGCTGTGATGGACTTCAGGAGGGCCTGGTTCAGAAGCTTGGGCCCCGAGTCCAAACTGAGCGGCTGGATGGCGGGCTGAGTGCCTTCACAGTGTACTTCTATCTGGAACGGACACGCCTGACAGAGAGGGAAGAAGAGAACTTAACTTAGGCGTATGGTTCAAGGCTGTAAGTGCTGGTATCAGAATCAAAACATTTACACACAGTTGCATTAGAATCGACCGATAAAAAGCTCAGCAGGTATCATCTGGAAGATATGGATCTATCGCTGATATATTGTATTGGCGTTTAAGCTTTCCAACATGTGCTGACGTAAATCTTTTTAAAACAGGACGCTTTAAGCAGAAAACAACAATCAGGGTGATTTAGAAATAGTTTCTTGTTAAGCAGAGCGTATTCTAGCTCCATAGTTTAAAACACTCAGAACATTAGAGCATCACAGCTGAGTGGACACCAACCTACACAAGAACGTGTTGGAAATGTGTAATTTTGTTAAATATTTATGTGTTTTAGAAAGCAGCCTTCAGACTACCTTAGCGAACAATATTTTGGTACTTAAATTAAATTTAAAAAAAAGGTTATTTTCATTTTGGTTAAAAAAATGTACTACATCAGCCACCATATCAACGACTGATCTTTATTTTCTTCATGAAAATTGGTAATGACGTCAGCCTTAAAAATCCAACACTGGTCAGATTCAGATACACATTCAGACGACTTGATCCCAAAAAAATGGATTTCAGTTTCACAGCTTGTTTAATATTATTTTTTGAAAGAAACCAAGACAAGGCATGGCTGGTGGCACCAAGAGAGAAGAATTTAGGTGAGAGAAGAGTAAAATGTAAAGTGTTAAAGTACCTCTTCTAGCTCCAACATTCGGTTGTAGCCCATGGCCTCCAGGGTGACCCACAGGTCTGCAGGGTCTCCGTCTTTCTCCGTGGCCTCCATCAGGTTCAGCTCCAGGAAGCCCTGCCTGGTCAGCTGGTTCTTTATCATATCAAAGTTCTCTGAACACCAAAACAACAACTAGTAAGAGCCATACACCTCTCTCTTACATTATATTTTTACATCAGGGTTACAAAAACAAACATTGTGTGTATCAGCACGATGATGAGTGTGATCACCTTTGCAGACAGCCCAGGCATCTTTGTCACATTTCTCTCCACTGGTTCTCATCTCGAAGAAATTGTACTCCTCCAGACTGAGCAAACAGTTCCCATCCGTGTCAATCACTTCAAAGATGTCAGACAGCACCTCCCTGTGGCACAAAGAGGGAAACACAGGAAGATGTCACACACTGGATTTTAAAAGCTGCTGAAGCCTCACATTTTAAAATGACGTTGACTGGTTAGTGGCCAATCAGAGGGTCAGGAGTTCAGATCTTTAACATGGAAATGGGACACCATGTTTAAAGTCCTATTCTTCATATTTAATACACAGAACATGTCTCTCAGTTTTAGATCAGCGCACGCACAAAGTTAAAAAAGAACAAAGAATAGCATTTATTTATTTTGAAATGCTTGTGATGGTAATGATCAAGTTACATCTCTCTTTTCATCGACTGTTGTGAAGACAATGGCTTCTTTTCCTGCACCATGTTCTGTCTCGCACCCCTCAGTTTGAAAGCATTATGGGTACTTTCTTAGTCCACTCTGTTAGTCTGCCTCTGAATTAAAAAAAATCTATTTTGGGGGACTGTTTGGAGGTTTAGCTGACAGCTAAACCTCCATGGACTAAAGAAACAGGAAGTAGATCACTCAACAGAGAGGTCAAGTGGAAGGGCTCGGTGGGAAAATTGTGATGATGGCTCAACCAGAAAAGCTCAATTTCATTCATCCCGCTGAATTTTCAATCTTGTATTAATTCAATCATCCACTTAATGGCTGGGTCCACAGAAATAAATCACAGACCAGATTTGGTCTATTATATTAGCCAGCAAGTTGGTGACATTAAATAAACACTTGAGTGTGTTTTAATGCTACTTCACACATAAACACACCCACTCACAATCACAAGCACACACACACAAACACACACACCAACCTGAGCTCCCTGGTGAGATCTAGTTCCCCAGTATCCGTCCTGTAGATGAGCTCCACGGGTTTATTCGGGAGGTTCTTTGTAGTTCTTTTCTTCAGTTTGCAGCCACTAGTGAAGGGGAGCAGGTAATAATTCCCAGCATTCAACTCTCCTCTCCAAATATATTTCTGTAGAATAAAAAAAAAAAGCGAAGTGAAACAGAACTCTCAAACTCAGCATCATGTGGACTGATAAGAAATCCACACTGAATGTAATGTTACATCAAACCCACCTCTCTGTCTTTGGACTCAGTGAAGCACACTAGAGTTGAATCCTCTTTGGTTTCACCGGCTGACGTGACGAACAGGGCCGTGTCCACTGTCATCCACGGAGAGGGCTTGTCTGCAGAATAACACAAGATGTCAGGCTTTAGTATTTAACATAACATTTTCCAGGAGCTGGAGGACATTGAACTAGGCCTGCTGTCACTGCGACCTGACCACAAATAGGCCAAAGAAAATAAATGTATGAATGGATTTAAAATGTCAAAAAAAAAATACAAAAACTTCGATATCATAAATAGTACAAAGATTTTATTCAAACTCAGCTAAATGAAAATACATCTATGGAAAAACAAAGCTGCACAAGCGGTTTTTAAATTGTATCTTTGTATTTACAAAAGCACAAACGACATATGAGAGCGAGTTTACATCTTCTGCATGCATGGACGCTGAGGTTGTCAATATTTTCAATACCTGGTTACTCTTCGATACCACGTGTTTTAAAACAATATAATCTCTATTTTTCTAATGGTCCACAGGATTAACAAAGCTTAAAAAAAAAGAATAATATCTTCAGTCATTTTATAAACTAAAAGCTGCCACAAACGAATGAGAGATAGAGAGAGCGAGAGAAAGAGAGAGAGAGAGAGTACTGTTTTCTTTGTATTAATATGATGGCAGCATGCTGGTACAGAAACATTGTTAACATATTTGTGCAGAGTAGATAGTGAGCAGGAATTTGCCTGCAATTTGTGGTAATTTAAAACAAGAACACTGAGTGACCAGGACTTGTGCTTTTGTTGCAGAGTTAGCAAAGCTGGTATTGATGCTGTTTAATTTTTACAGGAATCGTATCAAAGTTTAAAATTCTGGTATTCACCATGTAAAACACAGAGCAGAGTCTAAAGAAAGTCAAAGTATTTTGCCCATGAGCTGACTAAAAACGACTTGAAAGCGGTGCAGCTTTGCCGCAGGCAACAAAAGTCAGTTAAGAAAGCCGTCCAGAAAGAAATTTCAGGAGTGGACTTCTATTAGATAAATTATGGTAATCCAAAGTCCAAATCCAGAACCCAGAACCCTTGAGAAAACTGTTTAAGCACAATCTTCTTCGACCATCATTTCTGACCTCCGTCATCAGATGAGCAAGCAAAATACAATCATCTTTAAGGTACATTGTGATGATATTTTGCTTATGTGAAATATAAAAGAGTGGGAGTACCAGGCCTGTGGCTGAGGCTGAGTGGTTGGATGGTCAGGTAGACGTTGGTGGTCTGCGGGATGTGGAGCTGGTACTGCAGAGAGCTGATACTCCCATCATCCTCCACGAAGAAACAGCCCTTCACTGAACTCTGATGCCACTCCTGGAAAAGAAAATCACATTTTTTAACTAAACAACAGTCGCAGAACATTCACATAAACTAAGTGAGTGTGGCTCATAAAGCAGAAGAGTGATGACACTCAAACTTTATCACTCGTTTGCTATTTGAAGTGCTTTGAAATGTGTCCTGTTATATTTTGTTATGTTTCGTTACGGTTTAGATCCCGACACTAACAAACAACTCTGCTGCTCGACAACAAAATGCATTTATTCGTTCAACACAAACCAAACCTAATTTGCACTTCCTGTTTAAAGAGGGATTGATCATGTGACAGGAGAAGTATATTTAGGCATAAAAAAAGTGAATTAAGCAGTCAATCACAAGAGGAAGGTTGCTCACTTGATTAACAGAAACCGTCGTTGTGATAATTACCGCTCCAACCTTCAAGGGGCATATTCTTGATTATTTATGTGATTGCTTTTAAACACTTGTAGTACTTGTGCTGATCCACAGGAGGGCAGCAGTGCTACACAATGTTTCTGGGGAAGTAGATCTCTCCTAGGACCTGATGTGGCAAATTGGAGTCCATTTAACTTTGATAAATACAGCCTTTTCAATCTTGGGCCAGCGGTCATTCAAAACTATCAAGAGGCTACTTTGGAGATATTTATGAATCCTAATATTTCTCTCATTTTGAAATCCTGTTGTTCCTCCGTCTGGCAGCACAGCTGAAATGAGGTAATAATTGGAAATTGAACAGGAACATCAAAACAAGGAAGTTTTCCTTCCGCTCACCGGAGACACATAAAATGAAAACACAGTTGGTGTGGACACACAGTAAGAGGACGCGGAGGGCCCAGCAGGTCTGGAATAGGCTATATATCTTTTTAGTGGACAAATAAATCAGCAAGTTAAACAAAGAAAGTGCCATAAAGACGGAGCATGTCACTCCTTTTGAGAAAAGCCATTTTCTCCAAGTATTTATCTTGGGCTGTGTGAGAGGCATAAAAGATCAAACCATAACACTTCAGTGGTTTGTCCAGACAATATTAAATGAGGGAAATTGCCATGGGCACCGGCCCTCTGCTTAAAGACATCAGAATTAATGCCCCCGCAGAGAGAGGGTCAGCCTGCAGACTAATACAGCCGCTGTCACCGGCTCTGACCACGGGTCTGATTTACTGCGACGCAGAGGCTCGACCGCCACCAACACAATCACACACACACATTAATGACTGACCTTCACCTTTTTCTATGGTTCTTATTAGAATTGTAAAAAGTAAAACCCTTAAATACAGGATAAGGCTGTGACGACACCTCGCGATGCAAATAAACATTCATACAAATGAGGGACAATTCAAATCAATAGCATAAAAAAAGATATATTGGGATACTCTATTTCGTTACCAGCGGAAATAAAAACAACATAAACATCAAATTATTGATAACAAAGGCTGGGAAGCAGATTAAAACAAAAACAAAAATAAACTCACCTACACTAGTGCAAGAGCCACAGAGGTCACTTTTTTAGGCTGATGCTAAACGAGGTAGAGCCCGTCGTCAGGACCAGACTTCTTAAATATTTTAAGATGGGTCCTTACAGTGTCTTCTAAAAGCTTTCTGCTTCAATGCCAGGAACACATGCTGATCAGATACAGATTTATTTTGTCTATTTATTTATTTTCGTAAACATGACTCTGACAGCAATACAGCTGGAGGGAGTCACGCTTCTCACTCATTGTAGACAGTCATGACTCAGAGAGACATTTACAGAGGATACACTTGATTTCTGTTGTATTTATTTATGGGTAAAATGTCATATAAAAAAAAAACCATATAAATCTTGCTTTTTTCAGAGAATTGAAATCGAAGAAACATCTTCATAAATTGACCACAATCTCTTTCCAAAACAAAAATTAGAAAAATCAATATTGTGAGAGAATTCATGAATATCAGCATCATAGATAGGTATCAAATTGTTAGTTGGGTGTATCGTTACCTCCCTAACACGGACTATTCCTTACACGTTCTGTTTGTATTCTTGCAGACATATCTGCAGAATTCACACGGCTGCAGAAACACAAACTGCCCTCCACCTCCAAATGATCCGCCTGCAGCCAGTATAGAGGGCAGAACTTCCCCTCAGAGGTAATCTCTGGACACACATTCTGTTACCTCGATGATTTCTCGCCCCTTTCCAATCTCAACCCACTGCTCGGGTCCCACGAGACGGAGCGGGAGGCTGTTGTTTTTATTTATTTATTTTCTTGCTGAAAAGAAAACCAGCCGAGGTTAAGCCAAAAAGAGTGAAAACAAAGAGCGTGGAATCGATACAGCCTATAACTATCCACCCTAGGCTGAATTTGGCCATCAGGAACACTGGCTAACAGGGAGACTCGAAGCCTGGTCTACAGGAAGTCTCTGACTGGAGCCCACACACTGAGACTTCCAGCAGTTAATCTTTCAGGTTCAAAGAAACTGTGCAGACTGGATTGAGCAGTTTATATAACTCGGCTGTTGTTATTTTCCTGTTTTGCATAAGGAAGTTTAAATACCTGTTTTTTATACATAACACCAATTCCAGAAACTACACGTCAGTAAAAGCTGATAATGAGAAATCCTTCCATATTTGAGTGATTAAAAAAGCACATTATTAATACTTTGAAGCAGATACAGGCTATACTACTAACCATGTTTGGAAGTCTCATTCGCATTGTTGGACTGGAATCGTGCTCTTAAACAAGCTCAGCGGGTAGAAACAAGCTATGCTAACTAGCTAGCAGCAGCCCCTCCTGATGATCTCCGTTTGTTAAAGGCTGTTGAAGATACACAGATTTCTAACCGTTTTTTAAAAAACCCCTTTTTAGTTATCTTAGATTTTAATTATAAACACAAACAGCCCTAAAATGTATATCGATGAAACAATGCATGCTGACATTTTTCTAGCTTTGATTTCACGCTAAACTTGCAGCGCACTGTTCTTCTTTGTCGCTCTGTACAAGTGGCAGCAATTCAGTCATTATTTCTGGGTGGGCTGCTGCTTCTAAGAAGAAGAAGAAGAAGAAGAAGAGAGTGTCTCTAAAATGAAGATATGGTGATATAGATGGTTTCCAAAGTAATTTTTGTGATAAATTCATAAATTATCTCTCAAACTCTTATCTGTCTGAGAGAATGAGGCCGTTTGCAATCAATTAAGTGGTAGAAAATCGAGAAGATCATCCCTGACTTTACTGAGAAACTCTGCAGAGAGGGCGGCCGGGGTGGCAAAAAGCAGCATGAGAACATTGAAGCAGTTTCTGAGTAAGCACTTAAATTTGGTCTAGAACAAAATAGAGTGAAATATTGTGAATTAAGAAATAACATGGCTAAAAAGCGTAATGTAGATTTTGAAATTTGTCCAAGAGACAAAGATCACCATCCCCCCCCCCCCTTCAGAAACTTCAGAGTTTCTTGTTGAAGAAAAAACCAAAACATGATCTGGCTCAAGCGTTCCACATGTCGGGATTTTCTGTTTTATCTCACTGTAAATGGAATATATTTGTGATTAAGAGTATTGATGGACATTTCTGGGAGCCTTTGATGGGCATTGCATTCAATTTCAAATAATTGAAAAGATAATAGGCTGATTCAGCGCTATAAAATGATCATTTACTGCAGCTCTGAAGTCATTATGACTCCACACAAGGTTACCTGTAAGCCTGAGGGCTCTTGGACTTTGCCAGCCTTAGCGCTGCTGGTTGTCAGCGTGGTCGGATTGGACAGGGACGACCGTCTGCTGCGAGCCGAAGAAGGACGAGATGACGATCGGCTGTCTTCAGACAAAACGAAAATAAAAAAACGGGAATGAATAATGGCAAACACTCGCACACACAAAACATCCAAAACTATTAGAAATGAATCAAGTCACAACATTGCTGCAAGAGCAAAAGGAAAGCTCTGACAAATGAAGTTCAACCCTCCCCTCTTTCAAACAGTAAACACACTTTGAAAGAGAGAGATGAGGCGCACAACATCATTAACAAAGTCATCTGTCTTCTCAGAAGTCCGTCTCAAAGTTCACGTGAACACGACTACTTAGGGTTCTGGGGACACGTGAGCTCAGGATCAACCCCCCTTCTAATTAATTACAGAGGTGTTTTAAATCACAAATGACATGAAGGCATCCTCTCAGACCCATTATATGGCGCCACTTCTTTTCCTTGAACACTAATTGAAGGCAGAAAATATCAATTCACTAATGAGAGTGTCTGATTGTTTCCAAGCACAGGAAATTGAGCTTTGGAAGAATTGTTGGAGGCTTCCTAGCAAATTGCTGCAGCAGAAGAATAAATAGTTCAACTGTCACGTTTTCATGAGGGATCTGATTTGTATCCAAATCAGATCCCTATTTTAATCTAGATGCCGGAGGTGGAGCTGTTGTGTGGTTGAGGACAAAGAAGCACTGAAAAGAAGCTTTTTTTTTATTTGGAGTTTAAATAAAAAGGGGGTGTTGTTTTGACATAAGTGGTTTCCTGATGCTGGAAAACTGCACAAATTGAGCTAAATAGACTTATTATCCAAGAGAAAACATGAGCATTCATCAATTTTTCTAATTGCTTAGCCATGCACGCTTGACATGAAACATTTGTAAATCTGTATCTCTTTTTTTTTTTTAAAGAGAATTCACCAAAACTTCTCGTGTCCAATACAGTTAAAGCTTTATTTTATTGGTAGTAATAGATTATTCTTGTAGGACCAAATGAGAAGTCAAACATGTTTTTTAGGGCCAAGAAGAACCCATTCACGGTGTGCCATCACGCTGCATCCCGTGTCATAGCTTTGTTAAAGTGCAGTGTTTATAAATCAATACGTGGGAGAGGCACAATAATGTGATAATCCCGACAACTGTGTGGGAGCTCATTTGTTTTTGCAGTGGTGGTCGACTGGGCCCTCCCCTCAAACCACTGCGTAATCCCTCATCATCTCCCCAGTGAGAAGTGGAGGAATCCTCTGAATCAATAACATGAACATGGACTGACCACTTAAATCAACCCCATCTATCTTCTCACTGCGGACCTGTCCCCCACCTTGCTCATCCAGGAGCTTCCTTCTTCTTTTTCTTGATTTTAAAGTGAAAAATCTCAGTTTTTTCTTTTTTTACACCCACCTTCAACTGGCTGAGCAGAAAGATAACTGTACGGATCAATATGTTTTGTTGCGGACAGGTGAAGCTGGACTGGCTATCAGCTTGTGTTTGTTTAAGCTTTAAAAATGTGTTTTTTGGCAGGACCGCAAACTTCATAGCCACGGTTATACGGCAGTGTTTTGTTTTTTTTCAGTGTGGATGGAGCTTTTGTCAATCTCATAATGGCAGAACTGATTGGCTAAATCAAAACGATTTACAGTCTCCTCCCTGCAAACAGGCTGCCCTAGTTGTTTGCCTATTATGATGTATGGCCTGTCCTAATGAGGTGATTTGTCAGTGGGGGAGTGAAAAATAGATCAATAACAGAGCTATTATTTATTCATCATAACTAATTGGTGAGGCGTACTGGGGCAAGCCGTGTGTACAAGTGTGAAACTATGAACTTGTAAATTCTGCCGTACAAATTGCATTTATGCTCAGGAGTCATAGACCAGGGAGATGTGATGGTGCATTAACATGCTCCACTGATGCTCCCGTATTCAGACTTTGGGCAACATGTTGATAATTGTTTTTGGCTTTATGTGATTTTGTCCCGGATTTGTTGCTGCACCACTACTCTGCCTAATTAAAGATCCCTTTACCTGTCCAGTTATCGAACATTTTCTTACTGACTGATGCTAACTGGATCCATATAACTGGACAACAACTGACAGATGCAACCTAACACGATTTAAAAATGACATTTAGTGCAAATAATCAATATGCAATACAAGAAATGATCGTAAAAACTTCCATAAAATCAACATTTACCCTTTGACACTGTTTTTCTGAGTAACATGATGTCGGGTTGTTAAGCCTCATTTCTAGACACGTTCCCAGTTGTAGTTCTGCATAGTACATGTGAATGTTCCTAATCAGGAACTAATCTTTCCTGTTATTCAGACATCACATGAAGGCAGCTTTAGCATTTTCATGGAAAAAATAAATTCTTCTTCATAAATGTTTTCAACATGGGGTCACTAAGAATAACTCTAAATGTTGATCCGATCTGTGGGCATGTCATTCAGATTTCTGAGATCATAATTTAATCTAACATTGAGGACATCTTGTGAGGACATTGAAGTGATCAGAAATATGTGTTTGTTCTCTGATTTATGTGAAAGTGTTTTGAACGGTATGAAACAACACAAAAACACACCTTTCTTGTTTACTACTCCCTCGGTTGTCACAGCACATGTTGTACCTTTCTTGAGTGTTGTGTCTGAGTCGGCTCTGGGAGTTTCTGGTGGCTGAGGGAGGGTCGCTGCTGCTGCTGCTGCTGCTGCTGCTGCTGCTGATCCTGATGTCGCCGCTGATGACACGGAGCTCTTCGGAGGGCTGTATGACTGACTGCCAAAGTTCTGTCTCTTCAGCTTGGCGTTAGTCTCTAGCCTCTCCAAAGCAGCTGTCTGACACTGCTCTACTGTAGACACAAGCAATCTGCAGAACTGACAGCAACAGTAGACCAGTGGTAAGGGGGGTGATGCATCAGGATGACAGTAAGAAAAAAAAACAATTTCTTCTTCTTGTGTTTTCCATTCTTCTGTGTTTTATGGGAATTCAGTTCAACTTAACAAACAAAAGTTATGAATTAACAAGACATGAGAAAAGTGTATTCATTCCTAACTGTGGTGTAAGAGCCCCCTTTTCTGAGGTTCAGCTACTCCATACCATGAAATATTTTGATAACTAACAAGCAAAGATAAGACACATCCAATGAAAATACACTTTTTACAGGCGTAATGGGTTCTGAAGTAAAATAATTCACAAAGTGAATCTAAACTCACTTCTGCATAGTCCAGTTTGCCGTCTTTGTTGATGTCAGCTAATGAGAAAATGGCGTTCACCTCTTCAGGGGTCATATTCTCTCCACTCTGGAAAATTCAACAAGTACGTTTAAAAGTAAAAAAAAAAAAAAAAAAAATATAGAGATATTTCATCGTCCTCTTTCATTTCCTCTTTTTAAATGGTTTACGTGGTCAATGGAATTACATTGTCTGAATATATAACTGCTTTCTTTGTGTGAACATTGTCTAAAGCATCGTCACATTTTGTATGTACCATTTAACAAGTGATGAGTGCATTCAATCCTGTGCAAATGTTTAATTTCAAAGCCTTTAGCGGCCAATATAATTGACGTTCATATGGCGCAACAACCCTCAAGTTCTCTCTAAAATATTTTCAAAGACGGCCATAATTTACACATTTATCCACACTGATTTGTGTAGCTTTGTCCAGTTAAAAAAACAGGTGACTCACAGTGGTAAGAGTCGCCTCAAGTTCTTTGTGTGAGATGTAGCCATCACCGTTCACATCCATCTTTTTGAAGGCTTTCATCAGCTCTGTTTCCTCCGTCTTCCTCTCACACCTAAGGATCTCACAGAAGTCATCAAAGTTGAGTTTGGATGTCCTCGGGGTCCAGTATTTATTCAGAGTTACACGGGATGGATTTCTGCCGGCCTGCTGGAGAGCTGAAGAAGATGAGCAGGTAAGATTATAATCTAACAGTTTGTTGTGACATACAGTCTATTTGTCTTGTAACTTCTGTACCACTTGTAACTACTGTAGGCAAAGCAAGGCAACTTTATTTTCAGAGTATTAATAATTAATAATAGTAAAGTGCCCCATTAAAATATGAATATAATTCTGCATTCTGATTTAAGGCTTTTACATAATACATATACATATTATATTACAGAGAAAGAACGAGAGAAAGAAAGAAAGAGAGAGGGAAAGAAAGAAAGAAAGAAAGAGAGAGGGAAAGAAAGAAAGAAAGAAAGAGAGAACGAGAGAGAGAAAGAAAGAAAGAAAGAGAGAGAAAGAAAGAGAGAGAAAGAAATAAAGAGAGAAAGAAAGAGAGAAAGAAAGAAAAAAAGAGAGAAAGAGAGAAAGAAAGAGAGAAAGAAAGAGAGAAAGAGAGAAAGAAAGAAAGAGAGAACAAGAGAAAGAAAGAAAGAAAGAGAGAAAGAGAGGAAGAGAGAGAGAAAGAAAGGGAGAAAGAGAGAAAGAAAGAAAGGGAGAAAGAAAGAAAGGAAGAGAGAACAAGAGAAAGAAAGAAAGAAAGAGAGAACAAGAGAAAGAAAGAAAGAAAGAAAGGAAGAGAGGAAGAGAAAGAAAGAAAGGAAGAGAGGAAGAGAGAGAGAAAGAAAGGGAGAAAGAGAGAACAAGAGAAAGAAAGAAAGAAAGGAAGGAAGGAAGAGAGGAAGAGAGAGAGAAAGAAAGGGAGAAAGAAAGAAAGAGAGAAAGGGAGAAAGAAAGAAAGAGAGAAAGAGAGAGAGAGAGAGTAGAGAGCGGAGAGATTATTTAGGTTATCAGATGAATGGTACTCTGATATTTAGATATCACATATTTAGATATCAGATATTTAGATGTCAGATATTTAAATATCAGATATTTAGATATCTGATATTTAGATATCACATATTTAAATATCTGATATTTAGATATCACATATTTAAATATCAGATATTTAGATGTCTGATATTTAAATATCTGATATTTGGTAGTTAAGTAAATAAATTGCTTTCTAAGTAGTCAGGAGTGTGATGTTAGCTTACCACGACATAATTGCTGTTTTGAAGCGATATGAGTCAAACTAGACCTGAACACAGCCAGGTACGCGGCTCTGCACTGCGTGTAGAAAGTCTCCTCTTCATCAGAGGGATGAGGTGACTCTTGAAAAGACATCTTGAAAAGGTTTATCGTAAGCTAACACTTTCCAGGTGTCAAACCAGACTACAACCCGATACGGCAGCTACTGTTGGTTAAAACTATGTTAACTCTACTTTACACACTTTTGTTCTCATACAAATAACATCAAATATGTATTCACTTAATCATATTTACGCCAGCCGTGTCGTTTGTCACACCCCGTTGCTATCTGCTGCCTGTTGCTAGGTAAACAAAAAAAATGTGGGTGTTCACCAAAAACGACACGGAAGAAACAACCGACAACCGTTCTTGTTAGTGTTTAATGGTGTTTAAAGCTAATAAATACCATAATTAAATATTACATGTTGTATTATGTTTAAAGTATACGTCTTTTGTTTTGTTTCTTTAATTTGAACTGTTTTTCGGGATTTTTTAGTCGTTTTCAGACAGAGTGGACATCCGGAACTATAAGTTGGATTAACCATGTTTTACACGAGCTGAATGGGTGTAAAAAAAGGCGCCAGTTTCAAAATGTGAGTGACAAACAAACACCCCTTAATGTTTAAAGTATTGTTCACTTTACTGTTTTTATTTGTCGTATTCGTTACAGAGTGTAAATGTCTACGAACTAATAATAGCTTAACATAAACTTACTTTGGAATACTTGGGTTTTATATAAATCTTTCTAAGTGGCATGAATATATTATTATTATTATTATTATTATTATTTTCATTATTATTATTGTTATTATTATTATTATTATTATTGTTGTTATTATTATTATATTATTATTATTATATATTAGCCTTCTGCTTGTGCTTTTAGTTTCGTTAGTTGCTTAGTTGATTAAATTTGTTTTTATTTCTATTTTTATTTTTTTATTTTTTTCCTGTAGCACTTTAAGATTCTTTTGCAAAAATGTAAAGTGCGTTACAAATTAAATGTATTATTATTATTATTATTACTATTATTATTATTATTATTGTTATTATTATTTACCTGTAGTACAATCATACCTTCTGCTGGTTTGTGTTGGTACCGTGTTGGACTAGCAGGTGGTTTGTTAAATTTTATGTTATGATAAGAACCGAAAAGTGAGTTTGGTTTAAGTACCGTGCTCAGGGAGATTGTTGTTGTTGTTGTTGTTGTTGTGTCCGTCTTCATATTTTTTTCAGCCTGTGATGTCACATAAATATAACCACATAAAAAAGGATATTATTCTGTTTTAACGCTTCTGAAAACTAAATTAGAAATGCATTCAGAGTTAATCCAATAATATTTAAAAGGCACAGGATAAGAAGTTGTGTTCCCGCTGCATGTTTAAACATATCCTTCCTTTTGGTTTTGGGTATTGTAACTTTATGATTTAATACGTTGTTTTATTGGCTACTGTTACTGTAAGTGACTGTTTTAAGTGAAAGTGAAGATTAAAGTAATCAAGAATGGCTTAGATAAGTTTAATGGTCATAGGTTTCTTCTTATTAAATAAAGCAATTTATTGAAACTGAACTTTGCTAACAGGGTGAACAACGTGTCTCAACAAATCTGAGCTTTAAAGGTTAAAGAAATGGGCTGGTGATTTAAAATGTCAACAGTTCCCTTGGACATAAAATTGATTATCTGGTTGTGGAATAACTGCACTCTTTTAATACTGATAGATCAGAACAGTCCATGTGGGACTGTGGGCAGGGGATTTCTTAAAAGAAACACCAAAAGAACGTGTTTGTTTCTGTGACCTTCTCTGTTTCAAATGAAATGAAATGAAAGAAAAAAAAAAAAAAGGGCCGACATAATATTGTGAGCGTGGTTGGCCTCTCATGAACTTCCACATTCAAGACCGCAGCAGAAGCGAACAAGCAGCTGCTAGATGAATGACCTAAAACCACAAGCTCCACTTCCTGGAAGTGTTCAGAAATGTAACATGTGTGAATATTGTTGAGATTATTTTTAATTTAAAACTTTCATCATATGTTTAATCCATTTTGTAGAATATAATACTACCCACAGTCTGTCCACATTGTAACAATAACTTATAAATACAGCTACAGGGTACTTCAGATTGAGCTTTGGTATATGAATACTACCTTAACTTTGTCCAGAATATGAAATGTAAGGATTTGCTGGTTTTCTTCTTCATTTATATTTTCTCTTACACCAGTGTTTCCAAAGTGGAGGTCGGGTCCCCCTGGGGGCCTCGCTAGGTGCCTTCCAAAAAGGCAAAATTTAAAAACATATCTTCTACCCATTATTGAAAAATAGATACAAAAATGCAGTTCAATTTCAAATAAAACCATTTCATTGAGTGAAATGAAAATGATGTGTGAAGATACTTACTGTAAAGATGAACACACCTGTGTGTACATTATGTTGTATGTCCACAAATGACTTGTATTCTGCTTCAAGCCTTTCTTACAATAAATTACTATATAAAATACATCTATGGTGTCTGTTGTATTCCTTTGTGTTCTTTTTGCGTTACCAGGGATTAGATAGTCCCCCCCCCCCCCCCCCCCGAGTTAGTCAAAGGATTAGACCTTGACAAAAGAGCACCTCGAACACTCTGGACTCTGAGAAACTTGGGTGAGCTGATTTCTTCATATTTTGACATTTAAAGGCCAATGGATGGATCATGAAAATAATAATCAGAATATTAATGACAAATGAGGATAATCGTTGCCTGAAGTCCTAATGTTGCCCTTTGACAACAGAAAAGACTAAGAAGTCACACAACCCATGAAGGAGAGGTCCCTCAAACAAGGTTGGAAAGTAAGCTCTTTTCTCAAAGCAGTTGTATTCCCCATATTTCAAACAACTGTTTTCATAAATGATTTATAGTGAAGGCCGCAAAATTTATTTTTCACCATAAATACAGAAAGAGCCGAAGTAGAGCTGTTCCAGAGAACTCCCAGTTTTACGAGTTGCTATATTTCAATTGCCACACTTTCCTGATGGTCATAATGACATATCAGAATTTAATGACAGGAGACGTGGAATGACTGAGATCCATCACTGGCCAAATTATCAGTGATTTACATAGCACTAAAAATAGTTGTATAAGAGTCACTTAAGACAAGAACCATTTCCTTAGTCAAGGCAGACATTTAGTGACTGCTCCATCCATCAAGATAAGCATTAGTTTTTTAATTTTATAGTGCCGTCATTGATTCGTTACATGAGCTCCGTTTACATTACATTCATAACACTCACTTGGTTGTGTCGTATCGGGGTCGTTTGGGGGCACAGCATTGTTTTATTCTACTATAATAGTCTAAATGTATATACTGGTTATTGAAGGGGGTCAGTGGAATCAGACAAAGGGAGACTAAAAACAAAGCTCACAACAAAACTTGAGCTAAAAAATGTGTTGATGAATTAAAAGATGACACAATAATAGTTTTTTTTTCTGGGCATGTTGGATTATCAATACCTCAGAGACCGTTTATTTGATCATAGATTTGATATAAAAGTAGCACATTCAGGATATTCCTGAATAGTCAAAGTCATTATACAGGTATTGAACTGTATCTTTTATATACATACCATCCCTCTCAGTTATCTGCTTTTCTTTTAAATTTAATCTCTCCGGTTGTATTCAAGCTTTTAATTCAATGTTCTACGATTGAATTAAAAAGAACTAGTGTTTATAAGTAGTAATGTGTAGTCCTTTAGGGGTAATTAATGCAACAATCTATCATCTATCATCATCCAACAGAGAACACTGTCAGAATCAGAATCTGATGACTCCTGAAGATATTATTTGGGGCCTTTATGACATCATTCTCTCTCTTGGTTTGCCCAGACGAGACCCGTTTGTGATCCAGACTGGAACACCCAGCGGCTGCATCCATCAGGACCAGGAGAGAGCTGGAGGAAAGACTTTTTCTTCGGTGTTAAATCTTTGCTAAAAGGCGGAAATGTCTCCGTCGCCATCAAAGCCTGAGATGGAGAGATGACGGGTTTTATTTCAAGCTGAATACTCACTTCTGACGTGGCTTTCCCTTTCAGATTAGGGCTGCTCATTCATTGCAAACACAGTGAACTCTCATCTTCCAATTCCCACTTCTTCTTCTTTGCATTGCTGTTTTTGTGCGTGTGCTTTTTATTGTATTTCCTTAATTCTGTATTCTATTAAGTCAGTAGATGGCAGCAGTGAACAAGGACGTTCCTTCACATTGCTTCACAAACCTGAGAAGACACAGTAAACACAAAGTAAACACACAAACATACAAACACAAGGATGAATCATGACTTTCTTAGAAAGTAAAGGGATTTTCTGCGTACTTCTGCTGACCAAATTAGTTTTAAAATGCATTTAAAAAATGTAGGATATGCCGTATGCCATTTGTGGCATCAAAGAGGAAAGCACACATTTTTGGATGGCATTTCTTTTTGTTTCCCTTTTTTATTGCTGCGTGCCTTTTAAGCACCCAAAGTGGGAGTCATTCATCACAGTCAAGGTTAAGTACCTGGTGATAAATTCAACAGACCTAAAACCGTGTCAGTGTAAACAAGCTTTCACTGTGTGATAATCATGTGCTGATATGCTTTCATGCAATCAAGACAAACACAGCAAATTCACATGACAGGGGTTTTATTTTAGCACATCGATCAAAGAGAGGGTTTTATGGCTGCGGCTAAGTCTAGATGTGGGTTCAAAATTTATTACAAGCTTTATTTAAGATGTAAGACTTTGCAAATTTGAAGTGTATTTAGTCAACACAGATTCCCCCAAAAGGTATAATTTGAATTTATTGAATAACTTGACTGTTTTCATAGTGTCCACTTAATATATTTTTTAAAAGTTTATTTAGTTGGGTTTTTTTTTTTTATACCTTTTTTATAAAAAACAAAACAAAAGAGAGAGGACAGTGGATAGTCAGAAACAAGGGGGAGAGAGAGTTTGGGGAATGACATGCAGGAAAAGGAGCCACAGGTCAGAACCAAACCCGGGATGTCCGCACATGGGGCACGCGCACCTTCCACCAGGCCACCGGCGCCCCTGTCCGCTTAATATTTTAAGATAAGTTCAACTTTATTGATCCTGTCTAGGAAATGAAAAAGTCAGAGTAAAGGAGAGGAGGTAATCAAGTGATAAATGGAAAACATAAACAATAATAATATAAAAAGCAATGACATTAATAAAAAATAATAAGTGCTTGTTGCTTCTATAAGGCTGTATTTGTTAATTATTTTCATATGACATCCTTCATGACAAGGGAATTATCTCTTCTCTGTC